GGGGTCCCAGGAGCTGGAGTTATGGGGGCCCCCCGGCCCAGTGCAGGGTCACAATGGGGAGTTTCTGGGGTAGAAGGGAGGGCAAGGGGGTCCCCAGGGCTTGGGGGAGGGGGTAGGGAAGGGGATCCCTGAGTCATGGGGGAGAGGATCAAGGTGGGGGGGTCTACAGCATGCCTAAACGCTGCGCCCATGCCCCACATGGCAGGACAGACCTGGGCAGCATAGCACAGAGCCACCAGGGCAGGATGAGGCAAAGGAGGCTCCTCCCCCTGGTGAGGCAAATGGCACCCACCCCGCCTGGTGAGGACGGGATGCCTGGGTTCTGCCCCAGCTTGGGGGCAGCAGGGGGATCCGGATGCCTGGATTTTCTACCCCACCTGTACCCCCTGCAGGGAGCGCAGCTGACCCAGAGAATGGGGCAGCTGGGACTACGGTGCAGAAGCCATGCTGGCGGTGTGTGATGGGGGTCATTGGTAAGGATGGTGCTGGTGGTGGCAATGGGCACCACAGAGGCAATCCCTGCTGCTTGGCCTTGGGGGGAGGGATGGCATGGGTCTAGGCTGTCTGCAGAGGGGCTGGATGTGGCCTTTGGGGGCCCTTCTTGAAGAACCCAGGTACCTGGGAGTGGGGGGCTACGCTCACTCCCCACTCTTACCCCTGCTCTCCTGCCCCCCCAGGCACCTGCCAGGCCTGGTGGTGGTGCTGGTGATACTGCTGATGCAGCTGCTAAGGAACAACACCAAGGCGCTTTCCTCCAGCCCCTGTAAGCAATAAAAGGGGAGCTGAGGACCCAGACTCCTGTGTTCTCCCCCAGCTCTGAGAGTAGGGGACAGGACTGGGTGGGGGGAAGGGCAGAGGGAGCTGGGAGCTTAGCACTCCGATACTTCTGTTCAAGGGGCTGGGGCAGGGTTATACCCAGCGCCAGCACCCACCTCAGACCCAGTCGCACTGGGGCACCCTGTTACACCCCGTGCCCACCCCAGAACCAGCTGCATCGGGGTGCCCCGTTACACCCTCTGAGGTCGCAGCTACTTCTGGGGTCTCTCCTGCAGTCGCCTACAACTACTCCTGGGTCCACTTCCAACCCCCGTGGCTTGCGGAAGAGCCCAGGTAAGTGTCCTCCTAGGCTCAGGTCAGGACCTGGGTCTGCCCCTGGCACTGTCCCCCCTGTCCCCTCTGTGCCTTTAGTCTGGGCCAGGTGAGAGCCCCGGAGCCTTGACCCTACAGCCCACCCTCCAGGTGGCACCAGGACCAGGAAAGGGTGGGGCCGGCGCAGGTAGTGCCACGCAGAATTGCGGGGAGCAGCACTACTACTACAGTGGACATCCCTATCCCAGCAGTGACACCCTGGCCCCCCTTGCCCTTGCTGTTTTTACACAAGTGAGGCTGGTTTGAGGGGCCTCTGCCCCCGTGCCCCTCTTTTGTACTTTTTTAATTAAAAAGCAAACCCATAATGAGTGGGGCCATGTATTTCATTACCGGGGCCGGTACCTGCCCCAACACAGTGGTCCCCAGACCCAGAAGATGACCCCCCTCACAGTGACTTCCACAGGAGCCATTGCCCCCACCCCGTACAGTGACTCCCAAGATCTCCTCCCACCCAACAGACACGGAGAACCCAGGTATCCAGGACCTGGAGGGGAGGGGTTCCCCTCCCATGCAAAGTGTGTGTGTGTGTGTGTGCGCCTGTGTACATACAGCATACATCTCTCCTTCCCCACATGATGATCTGATTAGGATTTTCATCAATAGCCCTATATTATGCCTATATATGGGGGGGAACCTACAGAAGTGGTGGGGAGTGTCTCCTTTGGGCCCCCCCAAATATATACAAAAAGGTCTGGTGGGGTGGGGAGGCATGACCAACAGCCCCCACCAATAGTGCTGGTTGAAGTCTGGTGGAGGCAGCATCCTTGGCATGTCATAGCATATTCTGGGTTCCTGGGCCCACATATTCTTTACATCACTGTTTACATTGCATATTCCTTACGTCATCACTTCCTCAGGACCTGAGTAAGCTGCTCCCAGGCAGCAGCGTGTCACAGCATGTCCTGGCACCCCCACAATCCCCTGTGGTCACACGATCCTGCGCGCTCCAACACCTGAGAAAGCTGCGCTGGGGCTGTAGTGTGTCATAGCATGTCTGTGGCATGCCAGAGCATGTCCATAGCGTGCCGAACCACATCAGGGCTCCAGCATCTGCTCACAGGTGCGGGCCAGCTCGCCCAGCTTGAGGCGGGCATAGTCCACACGGTTGAGGGCCAGCTGGCAGTCCTTGCCAGCTGAGTAACTCGAGCCCTCGTGCGGTTGCCCTGTCGCCACCTGAGGGGGGGAGGAGAAACGGGGTCACCTGGGGGCAGGAGACCCCCAACAGCCCCCCTGCTCCGGGCCCTGCCCCCCCAACCCGCCAGCACCTGGGTGAGATAGCGGATCTGGGCAGAGAGCTCCGCCTCCACCTTCTGCACCGCGGCGCTGAACTGGGCGGCCTGGCGCTCCAGCGCCCGCTCGTTCGCCTTCTCCTTCGACAGCTCCAGGATCACGTTGCCTGCGGGGGCGCCGGGGTCACTAGGGGGCTGGGGGAGCCGACCGCCCTCGGCACCTCCCGCCCAGGCCGGGCTCCCCCACAGCCCTAGGGGACCCCCCACGCACCAGACCCCGCCTCCGCACAAGCCCAGGCCCCACCCACCTGCGCTCTGCAGCGAGGCGCCGATCTCGCGCTCCAGCTCCTCCAGCGCGCGCAACCGTTCGTTGGCCACCGCGTGCGTCGCCATAACCCCATACGATCCCGACCCCAGCCCCGCTTCCAGAGCCGGCCGGAAGTGCCACTCCGCCCCAGGCGGATGGGGGAGGTGGGGCCTGGGCCAGGCTGGCGCAGCCGCGTGCGGGCGGAGCTGCAGCGGCGGGAGCGGGAGCAGCGCGGGCTGCGGGACCTCGTCCGGACCCGTGAGCGCGCGACGTCACCGCGGGCTTGGCCATGACGTCATTTAGGGGCCGTCCGGTTCCCGCCTTGACCCCATGTCCCTGAACAGACACCGCCGCGTCCCGTGACGTTACGGAGGGGGCGGGGCCGCCTGGAGCCTTCGATATTCACTGACGAAGGACCGCCTGGGGCCTGTGATGTCATTGCGGAGGCCCCGTGTTGTTCCTCTCGCGTCACTGAGGAGGGACTACCTGGTCCTTGACGTCACTGTAGGGGGAGGGGCCGCCCCTAGCCTATGACGTCCCTGAAGAGGGACTGCCCAGTTCCTATGACATCACGGAGAAGGACCATCACAGAGATGCCATGGAGGAAAGACCACTCGGCTCCCATGATGTGCACTGGGGGGTGGGGCCTCCCTGATCTGGTGCTGCCAATGATGTCACCCAGAGGGCAAGGCTGACCCCCCTCACCCATGCTGGGCTGGGATGGGATTGACATCACTGAAGGGTGGGGCCTCCCTGATCTGGTGAGGTCACTGAGCTAAAACCGTGGATGTCCTCACCGCTGGGGCCCACTCTGTCCCCATGACATTGGCATGTCTGCTGCTGTTACCTAGGGGCCAGAGCTGACACCCCCAATACCCAGAGGAGGTGGTGTACAGTGATGACACCAATACGCTGGACTGGTGCCCCAAAAAGTACATCAAAAGACCCCCTCCCAGGGGACCCAGAGTCCCCACCCCCCAACAGAGAACCCAGGTGTCCCAGCCCCACTCACAGTGGCTCCGTTTCCCACCCTACAGATGAGAAACTCCTGGAGCGACTGGACCTGCAGAGCCTGCTCGCAGAGAAGCTGCAGCTAGACACGGGAACCCAGGAGTCTGGGTGGGCCCTGGGGCTGGGGGCTGCGGGTTGGGAGTGAGGGACACCACATCTAACCGCCCCCCAATTTAATCCCCCAGGGCAGCCCTGGACCTGGCCTCGCTCCGGCTGCAACACGCCCTGGAAGTCTCAGAGCTGCAGCAGGGGAAGGAAGAGGTGAATTGGAGGGAGGGGGCTATGGATAGGCTACAGGGGGTCCATGGGACTAATCCCCTCTGTGCCCCACCTCCAGCTGGCACAGACAGTTGCTGACCTCATGGAAGCTCTGACCCGCAGCCAGGCCGAGACTCGGGAGCAGCGAGAGAGGTGTGTTGACCCCACGCCTCCGAAAACCAGGGCTCCCCGCGCCCCGTGCTCACCCCCCAGCCCCCAATGCTCAGAAACCCCCGGCAACCGGGCTTTGACTCGTCTCCTCCTCAGGGCAGGGCGCTGCGCACGGGCCCTAGCAGCACTGTCAAGTCGGGCGGAGGAGGCCGAGGCACTCGGGGCAGCGCTGGGGGTGGCACAGGAGCAAGTGGCTGCCCTGGAGGCTCGGTGGGTGCGGGAGAAGGCAGCTGAGGCAGCGCGGGTCAACCGGGCCAATGCCCAGCTGGAGCGGTGAGTGAGCCCATCCGGGCCCCCAGTCACCCTGCTCTCACCCCCCTGCGCCCGCGACAGAAGCTGGGGCAGCTGCAGTTGGCAGCGTGAGTCCCCCCCCCCCACCCACCCGCCCGCTTGGGGGCAGCCCCTGTAATTACCCCCCATTTACCCCCCACCCCAGGGCAGGCATCAAGCTGGGGACCAGTGACAGCAGCTGCAGCACATCCTGTGAGGAGCTGGTGAGAGCCAGGCCTGGATGCCTGAGTTCCCTGGGGAGGCGGGGGGGGAGGGGACTGGGCGTTTAGAGCAAGGCGGCCAGGGGGCCCAGATGCCTGGGTTCGCTCACTCTGCTTCTCCTCCCCACAGGCCTTGGCGGGGCTAGACTCGGGGGGGGTGTCCATGGGGGAGGGGCTGCAGTCATCCCCACCCCCCTTCCCTCTCCTCCTTCCAGCCCCAGCATTGAGTGAGACCCTCGGATCCACCCCTGTGACCCCCTGATGGGCTGCTGGAACCCCCAGACCTGGTGAGATGGGGCTGGGGAGCCTGGATGCCTGGGTTGTCTCCAGCTCTGGGGGGAGAGCTGGGGGCCTGGATGCATGGATTCTACCCCAGGATCTTGAGTCTTCATTAGGATCCCTGAATCTGTTATGCAAATGATGGCCAATTCCATAAAGAGCACTCGTTTACATACCATAAGTGATTGGCCCATCTCCTTTCTAGCCCTTTCTGAAACAAGGTCCTCCACCCACTGTAAAGATGTGGCCAGAGCAGCTCAGCCTAGAGTGCCCCTCTGGCCCCCCATGCCCTGTCCCATGGCTTGCACTCTATGATTGGACCCCTGGAGGCCCAGGCTAGAGCAGCACCAGTGTCCTAGCTGCTCGAGCCATGATCTTCCCTGTCTGTGATCCTTGGAAGGACTCTGATCCATGGAAAAGCAGGGATCATAGACTCTACAAGAGGGTCTCTACGGTCTCTGGGAAGACTATGATCCTGAAGAGGGGTGGGGGGTAGACATTCTACCAGTGGGTCTCTATGACCCAGCAGAGTCCTCCAAGACCTCAGCCATAGAGATGGAGATCCAGAGTGTCCTCTCAATGGATTTGGGGGGAGTCCTCACCCTTACTTGCCTCTCTCTGTCCTCTCAGGGCTGTGATGGGACCAGAAGACCCAACTGCCCCTAGGCTCACCTGGATGCCTGGGTTCCCTCCTGGAGGGGGCACCGGGACATGATGTTCAATGTGACCCCGCTGAGGGGGGGAGAAAAAAATACAGAGGTGCAATCCAGAGGCAACAGAAGCTTAATGCCAGGATGTGGCCGACTCCGGAGTGGGCACTGAGGCTGGGTTTAACAGGACCACCCACTGTGGCTGGCTCTGGGGTGGGCTCTATCTGACCCCCCCCCCGCCACTGCAGTCACACTTGGGTCCAGCACAAATCAAGTTTTATTTCACTTTCCCTGGGACTTAGAACAAACCTACCCCCCTTCCCCCCAGGGGCAGGAGGGGGGGGTACTCATCTCCCCCCACAGGGTTAGACACCCATGCCCCCCCAGCAAACAGCAGGTTTCTGAGACTAGTAGACCCCCGCCCCCAGCAATTAAAACAGCCTTAAAAATTAATATACATATAAACAAGGGGGAGGAGCTTAGATAGGGTAATACCCACGGGGGTGCAGGGGGTCCCATCACAGTTCATAGCCCCCCACCCCCAGGGTCCTGATGGGGGGTAGAAGCAGAGGACCCCCCCTTTACAGCAGTAAGACAAGTGGGGACAACCGGTAAGCCTCATAGAGCATGGACGGACGTTTGAGTCTGACCACCCCCCCCCCCGCAAAGGGGGGGGGGGAGGGGCCGGGGGGGCGGTTGGGCCTGACCCCCCCCCCCCCCAGCAAGAGTGGGGGGAAGAGGCCGGACCCCCCCAGGTGGGCGGAGCTAGAAAACCTCTTCCTCGTCATCCTTCATCCCCTTAAGCCGGAGGCGGGCAAAGTCCTCGAAGACTATGTCGTCATCGGTGCCCATGCTGCGGGGAAGCAGGGGTTAACAGAGGGGTTCCCCCCAATGCAACTGGCTCTGGAGTGGGCACCAGGTATAACAGGACCCCCTGATGCAGCTGGCTCTGGGATGGGCATACCAGGGCTTGCAGATGCAGCCACCTGTGAGGTGGAGCTGGTCTCTATAACACCCCCTAGGCTAAAGGTCAGAGGGTAATCTGGACCCTGGGGTCCTGGGGACAGAGGGTCCTTACTTGGGCTCAAACTCAATGAGGTTGGCGTCCACCGGTGTGTCCGTCTTGGGGGCAACTGTGGGGAGTAGAGACATGGGGAGGGGGTTAGGTGATGGGGAACAGGCTGTCCCCTCCTCCAAGAGCCAAGGGTTTTCCCCACCTCGTAGCGCAGCTACCTATAGGGTGGGGTCTCCTGGGGCTGAGTGTAACAGCTCAGATGTGGCTGGTTCTGGTACGTTGGGGGTCAGGGACCACATAGAACAGGGGTCAGTCGTGCAGCTAGCTCTGGGGTGTCAGGGGCTGGGTCTAAGGGATCTCAGATACACAGTGCCCCAGAGTCAGCTGCATCAGGGGTTGGGTATAACAGAGCTGAGATGCAGCCACCTCAGGGGTTCGTAGATATGGGTGGAATATAACAGGGATTGGAGATGCAGCCAGCTGGGGGGAGGGGGGGAGCAACATGTCGGGGGCTAGGTAGAACAGACCTGAGATGCAGCTGGTTCTGGGGTGGCTGTATTGGAGGCCAGGTATATGGTTCAGAGATGCAGCTGACTCTGGGATGGAAGGGGGGGGGCGGCCAGGAGCTAAACAGGGCTCAGAGATGCCACCACCTTTGGGACAGGTCATCAGGTCCTGGCAATACAACCCCCCACCTCTCCCCGCACCCTGGGTCCTCTCACCTGAGACGGGCCGCAGGGGGGCGTTCTGCTCCAGGGGCTTGGGGTGCATCAGGACAAAGGGCAGCTCCACGGAGACGTCCCTGGGGGCAGGAGAGGGGTGGTGATGGGGGTGGGAGGGGCAGGAAGGGTTGTGGGGGCAGGGGGCAAATTGTACGTACCCACCCCGGGAGACCACCAGCTTGACCTTGACGCGGTAGGACACCAGGATGCCGAGGACCTCTTTGTTGGCCCCCTCCCGGACGCTGGAAACCAGAGCTGCGGTGAGAGGTGGCTGGCTCTGGGATGGTACACTGGGTAGCTGGGTATAACAGGGTCTCTGATGCAGCTAGCTCTGGGGTGGGTGTCAGGGCTGGGTATAACAGGTCCCCCTTGATGCAGCTGGCTCTGGGGTGGATCTAAAAGGTTCTTCCCTGCATGATGCAGCAGGCTCTGGGGTGGGCACCAGGGGCTGGGTAGAACACATCCTCCTGATGCAGCTGGCTGCGAGTCTAATGGTTCCCCGCTGTAGCTGGCTCTGGGGTGGGTACTGGTGGACGGGTATAACAAGTCCCTGCTGCATCTGGCTCTGAGGGAGTGCCAGGCCAGGTATAATGGGTCCCTTGCTGCAGCCAGCTCTGGGTTGGGCACCAGGGGGTGAGTATGTAATTATAGGGGCCCCAGTGCTGCTGGATCTGGGGTGGGCAGCACTGAGTATAGCAAGTCCCTGCTGTGGCTGGCTCAGGTGGGCACTGCAGATGGGTAGGACACAGCTCCCCAATGCAGCTGATTCTGGGGTGGAGCTGGCAGCCAAGTATAAAATGAATGCAGCTGGCTCAGGTAGGTGTCACAGGTCCCCGATGCAGCTGGCTCTGGGAATAGGTATAACACAGCTTCCTGATGCAGCTGGTTCTGGGGTGGAGCCAGCAGCCAGGTACAACAACGATGCCACTGGTTGTGGAGTGGGTCTAAGGCAGGCGTGGGAAAAATATGGTCCGGGGCCAGATCCAGCCCACCAGACCATTCTATCCGGCCCATGGGGTCCCTAAAAAATTTAGAAAATTAATATTTATTTGCTCCTAGCTGCCTGTCAAAGATGACAGGAACCAGGGGCAGTAGGGCCCAGCAGCAAGGCCTGCCCAGCCCTACCCCCCCAACCAGAAACCCCTGCCTAGCAGGGGCTTCTGGCCTGGGACCATGAGGCTGTTCCTGCTTCCCTGTGCTGGAGAGGGAAATGCAGCCCTCAACAGCTTGCCAAAACTCAGTAAGTGGCCCTCTACCCAAAATAACTGCCCACCCCTGGAAGGGGTCCCTGCTGCAGCTGGCTCTGGGGTGGGCACAGGGCATAACAGGCTCACATGGTGCTGGAGGCGAGGTTGGTGTCCTCGTGCTTGAGCTTCCCATCCAGCGCCAGCCCACGCTTCTCCCGGTTGGCGCTGAGCAGCGGCGTCAGGGTGTAAACCTTGCAGAAGGTCGAGCTCGGGGCCACCTGGTCCCTGGGGGGAGGTGGGGGGCGGGGGCTGAGACCCTCCCCTGCCCCACCCCCCCAGCTCTAGAGGACTGGGGCACTACTGCCTCATGCTCCTCTGCACCCTACCTCCCTCCCAGCCAAGCCTGCCCCCACTATGCTACCTGTAGTGCTCCATTCTCCTGGACCCCCACACACCAGGGAACAGCCCCTAGGGGACCCCCACCCAGAATCCTCCATTTCCCACCCCCCAGAGCCTACCCGTAATCCTCCATTCCTCAGCCCCCACCCCTAAGCCTGGAAGACCCCCCTGCCCCAATAGCACAATGCCACAGACCCCCAAACCCCTTCTTTAAGGGACCCCCAACCTGCTCCCCTTACCCATAATACCCCACACTCCAGCCCGCCCCTGTCAGAGATCCCCTTATGGGGGGTCCTC